TTAAATACTTTTTGTTGTAAATTTGCATATTCATTATGATAGTAAATGCAAAAGTCACATATGAAGGTAATGAGGACCCAGGAACAAGTTTATTTTTATTTTAGATCTTAGATGATACAGACAGGATATGCATAAATTTAAAACTTGGATCATGACCAAAGGTTATCGGTGTTTGTTATCTTTTGTTCAGTGGAAGCCAGTTTTACTTAATAGTGCAAAATGATGATACTAACAAATCATTATAGCAAATAGTAAATTATACAATTGTCATTGAGGAAGAACGGCAGAAATTAAGTGGTCCATTCTTCTGAATATTTTTCTGAAAACATGTCCCGAGTTAGTTACACTTTTACAATGAAACTATCCACCAACTAAGTAACCCTGGTCATGCAGCAGTAAAGATTGGGATTTACCGATATGACAGTTTTTGAACATATTGCCATATATATTGTCCATTTAGACTTGTTATATGCCATTTTCATCCTACACAATACATCTCCAAAAGACACCAACAAAATAAAACAAAAAGGACTGTAAAACTTGTATAAAACAATGTCTCCTTGTGCCATGCACCTTCCAGACACATGATTCTAAGCAGTTAAGCATGTGATAACACAATCTACCAGTATGTGTGAACCTTGATGTTTGGGCATTAGAGGTAAATCCACATTCTATAGGGCTTGAAGCTTATACAATTTGAGGAATACTTCTTGCAAAAAAAGGAATTTTACATTTCAAATACAATTTAGGTACTGGAAAGGACATGTAAATAAGTGGTGATGAAGTTTAAGCTTCATTATCTGTGTAGTAAATTAGGCTCTGCATCTGGCACATCGTAAACAGTCCAAAATTGTAGAATTATTTATTATTAACAGCTGTTAATTAAATTTGAAGTTGAGATGGTTGGTAGGGTATGACTACCCTGTTGGCCTCTTGCAGTGCCTTTAATGAAGTATGATTTAACAGTACCTTAGCCTTAGTTAGTCTTGATTAGCTGTACTGAATGTCCTTTATTCCTGTATGTGCTGGCCTTTCAGGTAAAACACATGAAAATGAAATAGCCAAGTAACTTTTAGTTTTTGATTTGTTCAGAATATGGCCATTTCTCAGAGCTTTATGAACACATTTAATTGTATATATCAAACATTTAAACTAAATTCCAACACTAAGATTATATAAAACTTAAAAAATAAATGAAGCCAGAGGCTAACCAATTGCGAAGTGATTGGACAGTAGATAGTATACATGTCTTGCATCAGACCCTGAAGACTTATGAACTCTGTCAAACTAACAGGCAAGGAATGACAGAGATACATTCTCTACTGCATTTGGCTAAGACCATGTCTTGATAACCTCATTGTATTACACTTTGTTTTATACAAATTAAAGGCTTGTGGCAATCCTGCATGGAGCAATACTGCCACCATTTTCCCAGCAGCATTTCTCACTTCATGTCTCTGTGTCATATTTTGGTAATTTTCTGAATATTTCAAACTTTTTCCTTGTCACTATATTTGTTATGGTGATCTGTCATAAGTGATTTTTTGTAGGTTTATTCATATATTTTTTATTTTTTGTATTCTTTATTTTTAATTAATTTTTTCAATTACAGTGTGATCTTTGATGTAAATAGTATAATTGTTTTGGGGCCCTATGAACCACATCCATATACAATATCAAACTTAGTCAATAAGAATGGTATGTATTTTAACGGCTCCATCAACTGGTGGTTGGTTACCTCATCTTTCTCCCTCTGCTCAGGCTTCCCCATTTCTTAAGACAACAATATTGAAATCACGCCAAGTAGTAACCCTACAATGGCCTTCAAGTGTGCAAGTAAGAGGAGAGATGTATGTCTCAAATTTTAAATCAAAACCTAGAAATTATTAAGCTTAGTGAGGAAGGCATATCAAAAGCTGATACAGGCTAAAAGCCAAGCCTTGTGTGTCAAACAGCCATGTTGTAAATACAAAGAAAAAGTTCTTGAAGGAAATTAAAATGCTACTCTGGTAAACCATAATTGTGTGGATATATTTCTTTTTCTATGGTTTATATATTTGCATACCAGTGTCATACAGTCTGAACTAGAGTCAGTTTTAGATATTCTTCACTTTGTTTTTACATATACATTTTAAGATCTATTTATAAGTCCCATAAAAATTTGAAGGGATTTCGATTTGAGTTCCACTAATTTTTATGGTTTAATTGGGGTCAGAATTGATATCTTTATTATGTATAGACCAGCCATAAGCAGGTATATGTTTATATTTTAATCAGATATTTATGTCACTCAGTAATGGTTGGCAATTTCTTCTCATATGTATTGCATATTTTTTGCTTCTTTTCAATGAAGAATCACATGAAAATATTGCCAATGAGAAAAATAGAAAAAAAGCCACCTAACTTATAAGTGTAGTATAACCTTAAGAACAGTCAAGCCCAAGTGAGGTTATTAAATATTACTAATTTCTTTATTGACTATAAGGATCTGTTATAAAAGCATTATGGTATTCTGGATTAAAAGAGAAAACATGATTATTTCAATTGATACATATTTACATTGCTTCCAATTACTCATAGTTATAGGTTATTTACGATCATCAATCTTGGATATATCATTTCCTTAGGAAAGTTTCCCAAAAGCATATGTATGCAAATTTAAAATTCTGATCTGTTGTTAAAATGTAGAATCAGGAATCTTCTCCTATAAAGGGCCTGATGGCAAATATTGCAGACTTATGGGACAAGAGGAAAAAATGAAGTTATAAAGGTACCTGCATATAACAGGAAAATAATTTTTTATGCATCTTTACTGATGAAATTAAAATACAATAATTGAGTATGATTTTTGTAACACAGGTCTATAATTATGAATATGGAACTTGGTGCAGATAACATTTCAGTTTGGGTTGAAACTTAGTTGTCCTTATCAAAATCTGTTGCAAATATTCATCTATTCATGCTGATCTATGATGAGATTTTATATATTTCACTGTTGCAAATTTCTTTCATCAAACAAGGCACTGCACTATATTGATTTCAATCTATAATGTCATTTTTTTTAGAATTCTATTAGCTAAAAGACTAGACTGCCTTTTAGCATGCATTACATTTCAAATTAATCACTTCTAATTAAAGTTCCTCAATAATTGCACTGTTAAATAGACTTTGGAATATGGAAATTTCTTTGCACTTGTATCAAGGTTGAGAAACTCTGCTGTGGACTGAAATCAGAAAATATATTGCTGGGAATTTGTGTAGACATGGAGATGTTACTTTAACTTTTGATAGTGCTGGAAATGTGTTAACAGCCTGCATTACTTGTAAGTTGAGTAACATTAGTTCTCATTGAAATGAGTTTATCACAGTGTAAGTTTCACATGTACGTAGTTTGGCCATATAGTTTTAGGCTGAAACATTTTCAAGTCTGCAGCATAAGCTAATTCAGAAGCCATTTATAGTTAAATAAGAGCACAGTTTTTCAACAATTTAAAAATGTAAACACCATTCTTAACTCAAGGACTGTACAAAAGGCAGGCTATGTTTAGCCCATAGGCCATAGTTTATCAATCCCTGCTTCATAAATTCTTATATTCCCATTAAATTTAAGTGCCTGTCTCCCCACAAACTTTGCAACCAGTAAATATTAACTTTAAAGTTTAATTGAAATTATAATTTTTCAGCCCTGGCTGGCATAGCTCAGTCGATTGAGCACGGGCCTACGAACCAGAGTATTGAGGTTCGATTCCCAGTCAGGGCACATGCCTGGGTTGCAGGCCAGTTCCCAGCAGGGGACAAATGAGAGGCAACCATACATTGATATTTCTCTTCCACTCTTTCTCCTTCCCTTCCCCTCTCTCAAAAAATAAATAAAATATTAAAAAAAGAAATTATAATTTTTCAATATTTACTTGAGTATTAATAAAGTAAAATATATTTTTATGATTATAGGCTACTTGCATATCTTCATTATAAACTGATTGTTCATATTATTCTTCTGTTTTTCTTGTAGTAAAATTTTCATTCCAATACTCATTCAGTGTACCAAAGCAGTTCTAAGTCCTTTTTTTGTCTTTACCCATTTACTATTTTCCACTGATTTCCCCCACACATCCAACACCTGTTTCACAATGAAAGACCTGCCATTGCCTAACAGAACTGTTTTCTCAAGGTTCTCTACATATATGCACTGTATCTTATATTCTCTGTCACCTTTTCTCCATTCTCCCTCCTACTGTGACTCTTATTTATCCTTAAGACTCAAATCTAGGACCTCCTCTTTCACTTTGTAGCACTCTGTGCAATATCTGCCATAAAACCCTAACACACACACACACACACATATCTGAGTCTTAAGGATAAATATATATGTATATATAAATACATATAAATATATATATTATATATATAAATTTTATGTATATATAAAATTGTTTACAGTGGTCTGTTTCTCCATGGGGCTCAAAGCTTCATGAAATATGGTGTTGTAATTGAGCTGTGTACTCCAGAAACTGCTGGCACTTAGTAGGCAATAGTTTGTTGACTGAATGAGTTCAAAACAATAGTAGTATTAATAATATTAGCAAAGTAATATTTACCAGATACATTTGTATAGTAGTATTCCAAATAAATGAATTTTGAAGAAGCTCTCTGACATTTTTCTTCATTAAAATCTCACCAAGGAAAATAGTAATTAAGGTTTTTATTCCCTGACAAGACTAAGTATGTCAGACATTTTCTTTTAAAAACTTGTCTTTTTCCCTAAAGACAAAATAACTTGTTTAAATAACTGCCATTAGTTATAGCTGTACTCTCTGTTTCAAGAAAATGTGCTTATACTGGAAAAGGAAACAGAAAATGAAAATACAAAAAGAAAGTATATCCATCAGCCATGTCTGTTTTGTAATCTTAACAATAAGTTCTTTCTTTCAAAAAGTCTTCTTTGTAACTTGACCAAATTCATTTTGGAATTAATCTTTTATTTTGTTTTATTTCCAAAGGACATCCATTACCTTGCACTAGATAAGGGTGAATTGGCACTAGCTGAAGTGGCAAGAAAAAGAGCTAGCGACATTGATGCAGAATCAATAACCTCTGGAGCTGGTAAGAATTCATGCTGGGTTTTTTTTAAGTGCTTCTTGTTTTAATCGATACTTTTTCAGTATTATTTCTGTTTATGTTTTTAGGGCATGGTTAGTTCATTTGAATTACTTTCTTTGTAAAGACAGTGTCTTTAAAAAAGAATTAAGCCTGGCTAAGCAATATAATGTAAATATATATGTTGGAATTTTGTTATTATGAGAATTGATGATCATTGATTAATCACTGCTTAGCAAAAAGTATAGAGGACTTTGTTCTTTTCGTAAGATTTTGAGAAAAAGAATTTATTATCAGCTCTTCCTGGTCCTTTACATTTCCATTAAAACCAATACAGAAATGTATGTAATCCTTTATTTACACATAGACATGTCATATCTCAAAATACTTATCTGCTATATCAGACAAAATACTTCACGTGGAATTTTAGGTTTGATGGGAGACTTGTTTTTGTTTAGAAGTTGCTGGAGTCATTTTACAAAGTAGTCTTTCAAAGAAAACCAATAAAAAAACTAACTTGAATCTAAAGGACCATCAAAACTTCATCATATAGAAGAATGAGTTTTTAATGCTGTTATAATATCAACATGACCTTCCTTTTTCCAAATTCAGTTTATCTAATGGGAGTACTGATCTCTAGACACCCCAATTCCTACTCTTCTTGGTATTTCCTATTCCTAGATTAGGCAAAATACCCTCATAATTGTAATTGATTTCATTTCTTTTTGGAACTTTTATGAAAAAAGGGAGTTTTATTAGTAAGATTTCTACTGTATAAATTGCTTGAAAATGTAACAGTCCTCTCAATTGATAGATCAACTTGTGCTTTGTTTTTGGAATGCTGTTTGCAAACAAAGGGAGTAATTTTTAGCTTCTAACATCTCCACCAGCGACCCCAGTCTTCAGGGTGGTATTGAAGGACTCAAAGCTATACCTCCATGATACCTCTAAACCTGAATACCAAAGTTGATAATTACTTACGAGAGAGATGATTCCATTCTATCCCATCCCTGAAAGAGTTCCAAATTATGCATGAACCACTTTCAAATTCCATTCCTAATCCACAAGAAATACTATTAACACAGTGTTAGATAAGAATAACTTCAGTTGACTTATCACTATGTCTTGTTGCTTCTTAAGTATATTGATATACCTCCAAAAAATAACAATAAGCTAATATTTATCAAATGCCTACTATGAGCCAGATACTAAATAACAGATATTTACTAATCAGTACTCACAACTTTGTGAGGTGGGTAGTGTGAATTTGTTATGAAAAGTCACTTTTAACTAAATAATGAAACCATACCATGTTAATAGGAATTATGATTGTATATGATGAGGTTACAGATATTCTCCATCCCTATCCTATAGACATTTAGGAATATACAGGAGAAAGGTTATGTCATAAGCAAATTTTATTGGATTTTTCCTTAGTTATTTACCCTTCCTTTTCCACAGGGTATCAGATATAATGGAAGCCATCTTTGCATTTGAAAGCTATCAGAGTTACTAGGGGTAAAAAGGAATGTGAAGAGATTACCATGAAATTTCAGAAAAATAAAGAAGGCCCACTACTCAGCCCACCAAAACATACTGTTTATTTTTTAACCAGATTTCTGTGGCCAGTTGATAATTCCTAGCCAAAGACCTTGGATTCCCTCTCTAAACCCTGCTTCATTTCTAGCAAGTATATTTTCTTCACTGAAAACTTGTTACTCCCCACAATTTTCAAGCAAAATTTTCATTTTTAGGTCTCACTCTTTGACTTTGGTCACTATCTCTTGAGAGAGATATCATTCAATAACAATAGTAAATCTCAAAAGACGATTATCTTAGATGAGTATTCTACTCTACTTTCCTTCCAGAAAACTGGATGTATCCCACTCACAATTCCCAATGGAATTAGGAAAGAGTATGTGGTTTCCTCATCATAGTCTCTTCTTTACAGCCCAAGTCATACTGAGAAAGCTAATTTTCTCTCAGATTTCCTGAATTCAATTCCACTGTTGTCTTGAACTTTTCCAAAAGCAGAAAGTAACTAAGCTTTGGCTTTCAAAGGGGTTCACTGATGAAAGCAAGAAGGAAAATTGTGTAAGATATCAAAAGAGTATTTAATGTATCTGTTCCATATCTTTTTTATGCAATCATCTATCAGATATTTTGGTTGTTTCCATATCTTGGGCAAGTCTGTGGTGATGGAAAATAATTTGACTTTGGGTGGTGTGCATACAATGCAATGTATAAACCATGTATCATGTATAAAAGGTACACTTGAAACCTGTATAATTTTATTAACCAATGTCACCCTAATAGATTTAATTAAAATAATAAAAGTAAAAAAATCAGAGCACATATGTCATAAACAGTGACCATGTCAAGAATGATGATGATTTGAAAGAGCACTATTAAGTTGCTGTGCAGCTGCTGACCACAGAACTGGAATTCACCTCAGCTGGGTCTGGTGCCTGGTGAGATCTCCCTTTTTTTTTCTTTTTTAAAAATTTATTTAATTACTATTCAAGTAAAGTTTTCTGTCTCTTACTCCCATCCCAGCCCACCTCCCCCAGTGTTCCCCATCTCCCTCCCATTCCCCTCCCCCCGCCTTAGTTTTTGTCCATGTATCCTTTATACTTGTTCCTGTGAATCCTTCCCCTTTTCCCCTGAAATTCTCTCCCCTCTCATCCCTGTCAGCCTGTTCTGTATTTCAGTGTCTGGTTATATTTTGCTTGCTTGTTTGTTTTGTTGTTCAGGTTCCTGTTAAAGGTGAGATCATATGGTATTTGTCTTTCACCGCCTGGCTTATTTCATGCAGCATAATGCTTTCCAGTTCCATCCATGGTGTTGCAAAGGGTAGTAAGCGCCTTCTTTCTTTCTGCGCCATAGAATTCCATTGTGTAAATGTACCCAGGCTAGATCTCCCTTTGGATATGCTACTTGTGAAGCTTATTGGATCCTACTCTGATGCTGTCTGAAGCTGGCTACTAGGTGTGTTGGTTGTGGTCACCTTGGGAGGGACTCTAAAGCAGACCAGTGTCAGATGCTGCCTGTGACTAGCCCTAGGCAACATGTTTGGAGCTACAAGTGACCCATAGTTTGTGGCTGCCTCTGCTGGACCTGGGTGCAGGTGGGAAGGACCAAGCTGTGCACCAAGGCTGACTTTTACTAGCACTGCTCCCAGGGCACGTCAGCAGAAGTCCTAAGATACCTCAAGATCTGCCTCTGTCTGTCTCCACCTGCTGGCTGCCTATTAGGCTTAGTCACTGAAAAAGCCTCTGTCAGTACTCAAGTTTCATGAGGTAGGTTCTCAGTAAGTCACCAGTTAGCAGCAAGTGGTGTTCACCAGACCTATACAAGTTCAAACTAGGTGCCAGTGCTGTGTCTGAGGCTACTCAGCAAATGTCCCTGGGTATACCAAGTCTAGCTGTAACCACTGAGTGCTCATATACCTTTGTATTGGGACAGTCTCAGGGAGTTGCCAGGGTGAGGCCAGCAGAGTTTAATAAAACCTCAACAGACCATGGTTTGGCTATGTGAAGGGAAGGCTCTGCTCTGGTCAGGTGTGCAAGGAAAAACTGTCCTCTGTCCTAGAGCCACACAACTCAGTCTGTCCCAGATTATGCTGGAAGAGATGGAGCTCAGCAGGGTGGGGCTGCCAGGAGTTGGGTGGATGAGACTAGTGGGTCTCTCATGAAATGGAGGTGCTGTTCCAGCTTCAGGAAAGTTGGGGGGTATGGACCCTGCCTCACAGCCACACAACTTAGACTGTCCCAGATTTTTCTCCAACCTTGGCAGAATTTAATCACTAGGAATTGAGTGGGTGGGCTCCCAGAGCCCAGAGTGTGGGGCTAGTGGATCTCTTATGAGAGATAAGCACCAGTCAAGTTCATGGGAAGGTGGGTAAATTGGCCCCCACCCCAAAGCTGTGTAACTCAACCACTGACATGTGTCTCCCCAGACCTCTGTACCAGGCAGCTGACTGTTCATCAAGGCAAAATCTCTCAGGGTGGGGCTATTACTTCCCTCCAGGCTGATGCCACGGGGGGAAGTATGGGGGGAATGCTCCAGCCAAGAAAGATGGTGTCTTCAGTGTAGGAGAATGACTCAGCAGAGGGTTCCTGGTGGTGGCCTCTTCAATTGTTCCCCCAGAGCCACAAACCCCAATGCTCCTCACATGACTAGTTCACTCCACCTCTGCCAGTGCTTGGGGTAAATGGCTGCAAATGAAATTTTCTTGCATTGGCCCCTTAAGAGGGTGTCTATGTCTCTAGCAGACTCCCGTCTCTCTCTGATGGACAAGAGCTCCACTACTTTTCAGTCAGATGTTATATGAGTGCATCTTTCCAGCTCTGGTGCTCTCATCTGAGGAGCCTGGCTTGGGGTTGAGTCATTAGGCTTTTCAGGGAATCTCCAGCAGCTGAGATATCCCTCTGGAAGTTCAGCCGCCACCATTCAAGTGTGTGGAGTCAGCCCTTTTCACATCTCTGCCCTTCCTACCAGTCTCAATGTAACTTATTCTGTAAATCCTTGGTTATAAGATTTATCTTCAGCTGGTCTTCACTTGGGTTGTTCAGGATGATTTTTCTATAATTTAGTTGTAATTACAATTTAGTCCTAGGAGGCTATGAGTGTATCTTCACCTACTCAGCTGCCATCTTGGATTCTCTATTTGTTGCCTCTTTGATAATTGCCAATCTGAAGGATGTGAGGTTGTATCTCATGATTTTTTAATTAATTAATTTAACGTTGGTTAATAAGATTATATAGGTTTCTAGTATATTATATGATGTGTGTACTGCATTCTATGCCCACCACCCAGTCAAATCATCTTCTGCCACCATATACTTGCCCCCTTTACCACTTACCATCCCCCTACACACATTCCCTCTGCTCTCCACCATACTACTGTCCGTGTCTGAGTTTCAGTTTTACATTCCACATATGAGTGAAATCATATGGTTCTTGACTTTTTCTGTCTGGCTTATTTCCCTAAGCATAATATTCTC